ATGATGGGCTCGAGTATAGCAGGGATTGTGGGGCTGGTGCGGGATCGGGCAGTGTTTCGTTCTGCTGTGCATGGGGTCGCTATGAGTTGGAAACGACTCGACGGCACTTAACAACAACAACAACAACTTATGAAGAATCACTTTAGTGATTTATAATGCTTTAGTCAATGTATCACGCTCCTAGATTCACAATTCAGAGCTACAGCACACCTGAACATAAGCTCTATTGAAGCAAAAAAACCTATTTAACTTGATCACTTCTGTATCCCAAGTACCTTACACATACATACCAATGCCATGGAGTGGAGGCCAGCTCATGGTGACACCTTTTGTGTCAAAGTAGAACTGTGCTCCACAAGGTTTTCAATGCCTGATTTTTTTCACAAATAGATCCAGGCTTTTCTATTGTAGCCCCTCTGGTTGAACTTGAACCCCTGAACTTTCAGTTAGCAAGCAACCACATTAACTGTTTGCTCTACAAGGCGCACCTCACATATAGTAGGCACTTAAGTAAATATTTGGAGATAAGTTAATGAAAACAAGTTCTTCAAATCTGTAAAATAAACGTTTAGGCCACAACAATCCCTGTGGTTTATTTTGATATCCCTCATGCACCCTTGCCCTGCCACCACTGTAATTCTTAATATAATAATATTTTTAATACTAACTCCTCCATGGTTTGCATTTATTCATAACACATTGCTTAGTTACCAAAAGGCATTATTGCAATTCATAAGCCTTGCTTTCAGTCTGAATCTAGAGTTTTTTCTCTCCTCAACAAAATTCAGGAAGTGTTTCCATACTGGCATAAGGCAAAGTGAATGAAAATTCTTCATTTTACCTCCTCTCCACATGCATATGAGACACTTTGCTTGCTGAAAGTGAAGATGACTTGAAGCACTTACTAATGAAATCAAAGACATAAGCTTTGATTATGGATTACACCTCAACATAAAGAAAACAAAAATCCTTATAACTAGACCAATAAGCAACATCAAAATAGGAAAAGATTGAAGTTGTCAAGGATTTCATTTTACTTGGATCCACAGTCAACACCCATGGAAGCAGTAATCAAGAAATCAAATGATGTGTTGCACTGGGCAAATGTGCTGCAAAAGACCTCTTTAAAGTGCTGAAGAACAAAGATGTTACTTTGAAAACTAAGGTGCACCTGACACAAACCATGGTGTTTCCAATTGCCTCATATGCCTATGAAAGTTGGCCAATGACTAAGGAAGCCCGAAGAAAAATTGATGCATTTGAATTGCGGGGTTGGGGAAGAATACTGAAAATATCATGAACTGCCAGAAGAACGAACAAATCTCTCTTGGAGGAAGTACAGCCGGATGCACCAGAGAAGGGAGAATGGCCAGACTTTGTCTCACCTACTTTGGTCATGTTGTCAGAAGGACTTGTCTCTGGAGAAGGATATAATGCTGGATAAAGTAGACAGTCCGTGAAAAAAAAAAAAAAAAAGATGAGTTGACACAGTGGCTGTGATGATGGGCATAGCAAGGATTATGAGGATGGCACAGAACAAGGCAGTCTTTCATTCTGTTGTACAGAGGGTCACTATGAGTCAGAACCTACTTGATGGCACCCAACAACAATAACATCTTAATGATGCCTCTTAGCTGCCCAGAATCACCAATTATGGGGCCCTATTTGAACTTGACTGCTAACCAGAAGGCTGGCGATTCAAACCCACCAGCCACTCCTCGGAAGGAAGATGGGGCAATCTACTTCCATAGTTATACTGCCTCGGAAACCCAAGGAGGGGTCGCTATGAGTTGGGTCCGACTTGATGGCACATAACAACGACAACAACAACAATTTGAACTTGGCCCTGTTCATTCAACAAATACAAGACAGAAGAATTGTTTTAAATGCAGCATTAATTTATTTTTCCCTATATTTTCACCCTTCCCCATTTCAAACATATCATCAGGCTCTCATTAACTCTTTATCTGGGGGAGTCTTTGCAAACTAGAAAGCTGAAACTCCTAGAAGGAAGTCATCCATTCTTGTTGTCTATTATAAAAGCCTAAGGTCAGTAAAAAGGTTATGCAGTTATGTGCTTTGGAGGCCAGAAAAGAAAATAATTATGTGAAGAATAGGAAGAGAGAAACTGGAAGATCTGCAAATCCTCCGATGAGTGGACAGTGGGCCCTACTTCAAGATTTGCCCTTTTCCAGGAAGGTGGTGTGACTTCAGAAAAGATGGCTGTGCCTCAGGAGACAAGGCTTCCTTCAGCCCCAGCAAAAATTTTGGTGGCCTTCTCTAGGCGTGGAAGCAGAGAGCCAGGCATTAAGGGAAGGTTGCAGACTTGAACAACGATTACTTGGAGGTGAGAGGGCCTTCTCTCAATCTTCTGGACATGAGTTGTTGTTGTTGTTGTTGTTATGTGCCGTCGAGTTGGACCCTACTCATAGCGACCCCTCCTTGGGTTTCTGAGGCAGTATCACTACGGAAGTAGATTGCCCAACCTTCCTTCTGAGGAGCTGGTGAGTTTGAACTGCCAGCCTTCTGGTTAGCAGTCAAGTGCCTTAGGCACTATGCTACCAGAGCTCCTGGACATGAGTAAGCCTCCCTAATTCTGTTGTGACCTGGAGGTGGAGGGATGCAGACGGAGGGCAGAACTGGGGGTGACAAGTAATACTTACGTTGAAGATTCAGCAGGAAGCAAACAATTCCAGTCTCTGCTGCCACAGAGTTTAGAATTCCCCAAAAGTTTACTGAGTTTCTACTACTTGTCAGATGTAAAAAGCAATGTTCCTACACTCAGAACTCCCTGTAAACAAGTCATGTTATACTAATACAATCCTTTCTTTGTTGAATTCATTAGGCTGGTAAGTGAAGGAAATCTAGTAGCCTTGGTTTGTCAGTTAAGCAAGCTGTTTGATAAAGTTAGTCATGATATTCTTAAGCACAAGATGGTGAAATGTGGGCAGATTGTAAAGAAAGTTAGAAATGACTTTTGGGAAAAGATAGTATTTCATGGATTAATGTCAGCTGACAGAGTTCTAGTGCTATCCAACAGGACAGTGTCCGGGCCCCTGTTCTGACCAATATTTTAAGTATCATTCACATGGATGAAGATCTAAAAGGTACA